CTGCCAGCAGTGTTCTGAAGACAGTCAAGAATGGCAGGATGTAGCAACCAAAAGGCTCGACACATGTGCCACTTGCAAAAGCCTATGTTGAAGAATGTCCTTGGACTGGTAAGAACTTGAATGACGATAAAAGTTTGCAACAAGGGTAGTGTTGGGTGGGTCAGGACCCCTTCTCCCGGGGCATGTGTAGGGTGAAGCAATGAGCGTCCAGCTGCGCAGCCCCCTTGTTGTTTGAAGATGTGACTGTGATGATGATGATGATGTGACTTCTATGATCATGCTCTGAACAGTCTGCCCCCACAGGATGCCCAGCTTATCAGTGCCAGTTGCAGCTTTTTGGCCCAACCCGGTCCAGTCCAGGTCCATGTAACAGTAAATGGTCTTGCTATGCAAGAACACTTAATTAGTTTTGAAATTCATTAATGTGTTTTGCATGGCAAGACCACTTACTGTTATCTCACATATATATTCTTATTGGGACTTATGATAGCCAAATTTACCACCCTAACTCCTCCCACAGTTTTTACACTACATAGACAGTAATATACCGAAAAACTGTGCGTATTGTTCCAGATTGATGTGCTATTACTTTGTGGAACGTTTCGCCGAATGGTTCACAATATATCAGCTTTTTTTTGGTGAAATTGGTCCCATTTCAGGAATGAATGGCGGAATGTTCAAAACTAGAGTGGGAGCTGACAAAAGCTAGAGTGTGAGCTGAAAATTCAGGACATGATTTCTAAACTGCCATCACTCCCTCATTTTCAAAAGCCCACCTGGGTACAGAAAAAAATTACATATCTTATATCAAAACGTTCAGCTATCCCTGCTGCCACTAACAATGTCCACGGCTAAGCCATAGCCCTGATAGTTTTCACAATATGACCTTTATTTTTTTGCAACCCACAACCGCCCATTGACATTCATTTTGAAACGGATGCCACTCTAGCCACCTCAAATTTGAAGGGCAAATTTCTAAACTGCGACTGTGCCTTCATTGTTAATATTTCAGAGACATACTATACATCCAAATGTAGGTCTGGGTCATGTGATTTTCAAAAACAATATAAAGCTCTTCAGTGTAGGATTTATAATTTTTTAAACTACAACCGTTTGAATATGGCAACCGACCAGTGAAGTGAGCAAGTTGGAGCAGTTTGTTTTTAAATCCGCTCTTCTCTGCCTTTGCTGTAGAGTGAGTTGCCATAGGAACCCAGGTGTGTGAGCAGGCAGCAGAGTGACAAGCCACTCCACCCAATTACTCCGCCCACTCCAGCTGTAGACTACTGGTGGAGGCAAGAGCACTTCACACAGTTTCCCCAGAAATTGTAGCTTTTCTAGTTACTGTTGTTATTTGGAGATTCGTAGAAATCTGAATCTCCAAATAATGAAAATTTAATCCGTATTTAGATTTGTAACGGAACGTATCACGTGTCTACCAATCCAAATTCATTGTGAAGAATAGCTGGTTGTTAAGGAGCAGGCGGCTGCTGTGTCCATAACAACCATGACTCATCTGATGTCAGCGGGAAATGTAAACAAACAAGTACAGGCATTAACCACTTTCCCACTGCCCTATAGTAGAACTACTGCTACAGGGCGGGCAAGGCTGTGCAAAATCACGAATATATATACATGATCTGCATTTCTGGGTAGGGGGCGCGTGGCTTGTGGCTAGGGATGTCAATCACCGGGTCCCGGCTCAAGAGTCCCTGCAGGCACCCGGCGATTGCCATGTAAAAACTGACAGGGGAGAGACCTGTGTGCAAACAAGACAGGTCTCGCTCCTGCCAGCAAGGACATGCTGCTGTATATTTCTCTGCACAGCATGTCTCCCTAGTAAAACACACACAGCACAAAGTTAACCCTTTGATCACCCTAAATGTTAACCCCCTCCTGCCCAGTGTCAATAGTTCAGTGCCAGTGCTTTTTATTAGCACTGACCACTGTATTAGTGTCATTGGGATGTCAGTGACAGTTAGTCAGTTCCCACCCAGTGTCAGAAAGCCTGCCACAGTCCTGCTATAAATCGCTGATCGCCGCCATTACTAGTATAAAAAAAAAAAATTCCAGTATATACACCGCCATTTGTAGACGCTATAACTTTCATGTAAACCAATTAATTTACACGTATTGGGATTTTTTTAGCAAAAACATGTCGCAGAATATATTTTGGCCTAAATTGATGAAGAAATTAGATTTTTTTAAATTTTGTTACTGAATATGTTTTACAGCAAAAAGTCAAAAATATTGTTTTTTTTTTCAAAAGTGTCGGTTTTTTTTTTTGTTTATAGCGCAAAAAAATCACACAGGTGATCAAACACCACCAAAAGAAAGCTCTATGTGGAAAAAAGGACATAAAATTCATTTACGTTCATTCATTCATTGCATGACCGCACCGTTGTCAGTTAAAGTAACGCAGCGCCGTATCGCAAAAAATGGCCTGGTCAGGAAGGAGGGTAAATCCTCCGGAGGGTAAGTGGTTAAGTCATAATGTGCTAGTATGCATACTAGAGCATTATGACAGACTTACCTGAAAATGAAGCCCTCCATTAGTGCACTGTCCCTGCTGTAGGTGCTTCCATCTTCACCTGGTCTTCTTTCCAGGTTTGTGGGCTTCAGCTGTATGAATGGCCAAGTTGAGATGACATCACTCCGCACATGGCGGGAGGTACAGCATGGCACAGGGCTCTGAAGGCAGTCCATTCATAGTCCTGTGTTCATGCGTCAGTGAGTCACCGGCTGCTGCCAGAGTAAATGTCTCCTAAACATTTGCACATTTAGTAGATATTTACTATTGCTATAGGTAAGATTATTACAGGCTTGCCTATAAGTACAAATCATGGTGGTGAGTTTACTGATCACTTTATGTTATTTCTAACCAAATCTTTTTACCTTGGAACCCCAGAAAAGGTTTTTTTTTTTTGTATATATGTTCATTGTTGCTGCTGTGTCCCAATTAAGGCAGATGACTTACTTCATCCCATCCCAGAAAAACAACAACAGAAAGTAAGAGAATATCTTTTTAAAGTATCGTAAAGCCACTTCTAATTGGCTTGGAACTGAGGTTTCTATTAACCACTTGAGGGGCCTGGAGAGGATTTACCCCCCCCTTAATGACCAGGCCTCTTTTTGCTACTCGGCGCTGCACTAATTCAACTGATCATTGCGCGGGTCATGCAATGCTGCACCCAAACAAAGTTTACAGTAAGCACCAAGTGGTATCCGTTAGGGCCGGTCAGGAGAAAGCACCAAGAGCCTGCCAGGAAACCGTAAGTGCGGCTTTTCACACAAATAGAGCTTCGCACCACAACGTTTGATCACCTGTGACTTTTTATTTTTCACGCTATAAAGTTAAAGAGACACAAGGCCAAACATTTGAAGAAAAACAATATTTTTTACTTTCAGCTATAAAAAATATATAGTAAACTCAAAGTTGTTTTGCTAAACATTAGGCCAGCCAAATGTATTCTGGACATGTTTTTGGTAAAAAAAATCCCAATAAGGGTATATTGTTGCTTTGTGTGGAAGTTATATTCGTCTACTGTATGGTATAAATACTGCTGTTTATGCATTTTTTCTGCTTATACATCGCTGCGCTAGTTAACGGACAATTGCGCTGGCCATGCAATACGGTTTTAAAAGAACCGCATCCTTTTTTTCCCCATAAATTGAGCTTTCTTTCGGTGGTATTTGATCACCTGTGCGGTTTTTATTATTTGCGCTTAAAAAAAAAAGGTTGACAATTTTGAGAAAAAAAAAAACAATATTTTGGACTTTTTGCTGTGGCATCGTGTACCCGCTGATAAAAACATGTCCAGTAAAAAAAAAAATGCAAAAATTTAGTCATAAATTTCTGCCAAAATGTATTCTGCTCCATGTCTTTGCTAAAAAAAATGCCCTAATACGGTGTAAATTAATTGGTTTACTGTACGTATATAGCGTTATTACAAATGGCTTGGATAAGTACAAATTTTTGGGGTTTTTTTATACTAACTAATGGCGGCGATCTAGCGAATCTTTTTACCTGGCGGCGATCAGGGACTTTTTTTTGCAGCGACCAGCGTACTTTGGCGGGACTGCGGGACTGCGGCAGACATTCTGACATTGGGGGGGGGTACTGACTTGGGGTCCTGACATCCCCAAAAACACTAATACAGTGATCAGTGCAAAAAAAAAAAAAAAACACTGACACTGTACTAATGGCAATGGGGGAGAAGGGGTTAACTTTATTTTGCAGGGAAGGGTTATAGGAGTGAGGGGAGTGTTTTACTAGGGGGCGGGGGGGTGTGTACTGGACGGGACACCGCTGATCGAGAACGCTCTCCGTCCCCTGTTCTTCCTCAGAGAAACTGTTCTTTCACGATCAGCTCATCCTCGAGCTGACAGGGAAGTGACAGACAGCACAGCTACTGCAGCTGTGCTGTCTGTCAATGTTTGCCGCATCGGGGAGATAGCCGCTAAGGAGCGGCTGTGAAACTCGGGCTCTGCATCTGCGGCGGGCCCGGGGGACAAATAGGGGGGCGCCCTCGTGCGATGCCCCCCCTGGTTTACAAAACACACATTTTAAAAGGTTGTTTTGCCTGTGAGTTTGGGCAAGGTACACAGGGGGCCCATGATCCCATCTATTCCCGTTTTAGTGAGTTTTCAGTTCGCCCAAAGCAAAGGGAAGGATGAATCTTCCTAGCTTGGGCATAACTAACAATATATACCTGCCAAAGGTTCTAGACCTTCCCCATCCAAAAAAAAAAAAAGGTTTGGGCCTTACATACACTTTAAAAATATTTTCATATAAAGCTCTTCAAATGGCTCAATGTAACAGCATTCTGTGCCAAACAATCCTCTCCGGCATGCGTCTTGATGTAGTTCATCTATTCAGGATATTTTGCCTTAAAAAAATATGCAGCTTTTACTGGATTTGTGTAAAGTGCAAATGAAAACCATCTTTAAATCAGCTGATGTTTTGCTTGTAAATTTTAATTATCTCTATATTTTTACAGAATGGACACCACAACTCCCTTTCGCTCTCAGTACTGTGAAAGTCATGGAACCATTTTCATTTCAAAGCTGGCTAGACAAACATCGTTCAGAAATCATTCAGAAAAAATACTTCCGTTTATTTGCAGGTGGTCATGAGACAGAGGTATGGTATCTCACAGGCATGTGGAATATTTTATTTATTTCTGGTACTTGTGTAACACCATCAATTTACGTATCGCTTTATTTTACATATATATTGTACATTCACATCATCCCTAACCCTCAAGGGGTGTACAATCTAAGGTCCCTAACTCACATTCATACATACTAGGGACAATTTAGACAGGAGCCAATTAACCTACCAGCATGTCTTTGCAGTGTGGGAGGAAACTGGAGTACCCAGAGGAAACCCACACAGGCACAGGGAGAACATGCAAACGCCATGCAGGTGGTGCCGTGGTTGGTATTCGAACTGATTAATATAATATAAATATCCCACAACCAAAAATGTATTACCAGTTCTTAGATGTGGTGGCTGCATTTGTTTTCTTATTTTAGGCTTTTTTCCCTTTATGTCCACCTGGTGATCCGGCTAGTAACACACTTTCTTTCTTAGGGTGGCTACACTCACTCTATCTATGGAGGAGCAATGTAGGCACCCTTGGACAGCAACATTGTCACCCACTAGAGATGGTAGTGTTAGATGGGTTAGTAGACATAGATTCATTTTACATAAGTGACTAACAAATTAAAGCCTAACTCCAGCAGGAAGTTAGCATCAACTTTTTTCAGCAGTTACAGGAATGTATCCTTTTGGAATAAAGGTTTTATTAAAACGAACAAAAAGTTGACAATTATAAGCCCCGTGTCAGTGTTAAATGGTTTGGGTGTTGATTTATTAAAGGCAAAAAGGCTGCTCACATGATTGTCCCTGGCATTAGTATCCCAAGAATAGGGATGGATAGGGAGGGGGCCAGAGTGCGTGACGTCAGCACGTACCGGAACGTGGCAGCCACCTTATGGATTTGAAACATATCATTTGGTTATATGGTGACAAGTTGTTTTAACTTTTTCATTGATATACATTCAATACTACGTTTTAAGGGCAATAAATCCTTTTGAATATATACACTATGAGGATTGTCTTGCTTTTTGGATGATATTGTCCTCTTGGAGGATAATTCATTTTCACAGGTTTACCTCTGGCATAATACTTGGATTAACAGTTGGGAGTTAATGTCTTGATATGGGAATCTTTTGAAAGTGATCCAATAGGTGTTTTCCTTCATTCAACACCTGGGAGTCAGCTTATCCCTTTAGAGCCAAAAGTGTCCGGGTTTGTTATTAATATTTGGAATCTGGACTGCGCTTTTTTGACCCGTACTTAATTGAGGGGTCATTTCGGTCTGGTAAGAGGCAGCATTTTTTGGGGTGTTGGTGATGGTGGACTCTCCCAGTCTATTGGAATTTTTGAATTTATTTTATATCCATATATTTTTATTATAGAGGCATTTATTTTTATTTATGCCGGACATTATTGGACTTTTATTTTATTAATTTATCTATAGCGCCGCACCTTTGTTTTTTATATCCCAAGAATAGGGCTGGATGTACACTGTAGGACGCATGCACCATTGTATATAAAGAGAACACTAACAAATCTCTAGGATCCTCGGAAAGGGTATTTTGGCAAAATAGACTTTGTATGTCTTTTCTGCCAAAAACCTCTACCTCCTAGTAATTATTTGCTTGAGGGACTTTAGATCTGCTTTAACTGCTTCCCGTCTGCCCATTGCACATAGAAGGCTGATGGGAAGCAGCGCCGATGCAGGCTAACATTCCTGTATGTCAGTTCACATTGGCAGCTCCTGCACAGCTCTCAGAGAGCGCACCCAGGAACCCGGCAATCGCCTGGACACAGCGGATCACATTACCGTTGTGTCCAGGTGATCACATGGTGTTTTATATCATGTGACTGCTTTGACTAATCACAGCACACACACTGTAAACACTGGAAATGAAAGTAAAGAACACTTCTCTCTGCTCTCAGTGTGAGATCGGAGATAAGTGATCTTGCAGTCTGTGAGTGTACAGCAGCCTGTTCGGCTTGCCTTGTACACTCACACAATGCTGTGCCAGCCACACCAGTGCCCCACTTTAGTGGCCCTGTGTCCCTGATCACTGCTCCAGAATATCTATAATAAATATGCAGTCAGCTCCTGTCACCTGTTCCATTGAATACAACCCCCCCCCCCATACACCAAACCAATGTCCTGATCACCACCATACCAGTGTCATGATCACCACCATACCCCAAGCCAATGCCCTGATCACTGCCATACACCATACCAACGTCTGAATCACTGTCATACTCCATACCAACGTCTGAATCACTGTCATACTCCATAGCAACACCCTGATCGCCACCAACCACCATACCAGTACCCTGATCACCACCAACCACCATACATGCACCCTGATCACAGCCATACCCCATACCAGCATGTTGATCAGCACCATACCCCATACCAGCACCCTGATCACCGCCATGCCTGTACCAGCATCCTGATCACTGCCATACCAACATCTTGATCACCCCATATGTCATAACTGCTTTACAATCACCACCATACCCCATACCTGCACCCTGATCACCGCCATGCCCCGTACCAGCATCCTGATCACCACCATACCTCATACCAACATCCTGATCACCCCATATGTCATAGCAGCTTTATGATCACCACCATACCCTATAGCAGCTTTCTGATCACCACCATACCCCATACCAGCATTCTGATCACTGCCATACCCCACGCCAGCACCCTTATTACCCCTATACCCCATACCAGCGTCCTGACTACTGCCATACCAGCGTCCTGATCACCACCTTACCTCATGCTAATGTCCTGATCACCACCATACTACATACTTGCGTCCTCATCACTATACAGCATACCAGCATCCTGATCACCGCCACACCTCATACGAACATCCCGATCACCCCATATGTCATACCAGCATTCTGATCTTTCTGATCACTACCATACCCCATATCAGCATTCTGATCACCACCATACCCCATATCAGCACCCTGATCACCGCCATACCCCACACCAGCACCGTGATCACCGCCATACCCCATACCAGCATCCTGACTACTGCCATACCAGCGTCTTGATCACCACCTTACCTCTTGCTAATGTCCTGATCACCACCATACTACATACCAGCATCCTGATCACTTCCATACATCATACCAGCGTCCTGATCACCATCTTACCTCATGCTAATGTCTTGATCACCACCATACTACATACCAGCATCACTGCCATCATCATACCAGCTGATCACTGCCATACATCATACCAGCGTCCAGCATTTTTGTGTCTCAATTGATCAATTTTTAAATATATGTATATCCTTAGCTTGTAGACTTATAGCTTTTACACAGACTAAACAATATACACTGTTTTAGGTTATTTTTACCCTAAAAATGTAGCCAAATACATTTTGGCCTTAATGTATGAAAAATTATTTATTTGCAAAATGGTATAACAAAATGAAAAACAAAAAATGATTTTTTTCTCGAAATGTTTGGTATTTTTTCATTTATATAGCAAAACATAAAAAAACCCAGTGGTGATCAAATACCACCATAAAAAATCTCAACCTGTCTAAAAAAAAAGTATAAAAATGTCATATTGGTACAATGTTCCATGACTAAGTAAATGTCACTCAAAGTGTGATACTGCTGAAAGCTGAAAATTGGCCAGGAATTGGCCAAGGAAACTGGAAGGGGGTGAAAGTGTCCGGACTTTGGTAAAGGCGCCTAAATTTGGTAATTATCCTTTAAACAGTGATTCCACTCAATTTTGCTGATATACAAATGGCCGCTGAAATTATTATTTAAAGTTCTATATGTGCAATGCAATGAAAAACATATGGAAGAACAAGTGAGTATATGTGACTATGCCATAATTTATTTTTGAAAGGCTAAGGGTTGCCATATAAAGTTGAAGTTGATGTCTAAATTTTGTGGAAGCCCCCTCAGGGCCAGGGGCTGCTATTAGCTCTTTGAGAAACCAGTAGCAGAATTAAAGAAGTGACTGCCATTAAATCACAGCATTATTACATTTACTGAAATGAGTGAAAAATCTGCAGGAGGGCTACTTTGTTGTCCTCTCATCCCATTAAGACATACAACAGAGATGACGCAGCAAACTCCAGAGAATCATTATCATTGTTGGAGTCCTAAAGATCTCTGAGCAGCTGAAATTATGAGCCATCCTACTGATCTGTTTTCCTAATCACAAATTAACATTTCATTGAAGATATATATATATTATAACATTTACATCCCTCTAATACTATGAGATAATGTTACGCAAAGAATGTGGTATGTAAATTCAAATGCATTGATCCTTTCCTGGGAGTCAAGCTATTTCAGACTTTGGATCAAGAGTCAAGGTAATTTTAGGCGGCTCGGTCATAATAAAAATGATGAACAATGACTGGAGGACATGGATACTCATGTAAAACCCTGCTGATACTGCTTGCAGGATGTTATATGGGCACAAGCTGCCCAATTGTACAGACACTGTTGCAAAGCTTTGTGGGATTCGTAGGTTGACTGCAGGACTTTGCTGTTTGAAAGCGGGCTAACAAACTACATTTCCCAGAGGGGCTGGCGTGTGGGCGGAAGCAAATAAATACGGAAGCCCAGGAACCCAGGGCAGAAAGTGAGGGGTGAGAGCTGGAGAACAGAGGTGGAGAGGAAAGCCGTGTGGGATGCCAGAGGACTGGGCCAGGCTGGGCTGCAGAGAGAGGGAAAGGAGAAGCTGCTGACTGCAGACAAGTCTGGTGAGCTGTCCCACGGGCTGGAGGTCCAGAGTGATCTCTAAAAGAGGAACCACCAGAATACTGGGGGGTCCCATCTACAGAGAGATCATCAGCTACCTGATCGCTACAATGGATTGGGTGGGAGAGCTCCATTCTCATGCAATTTAAGTTGCCAATAGCATTATTCAAGTCTGCTGCTTTCTGCCTAATTTCAACTGACACTGTTCACAACTTACACATGTTAAGGTCTAGTCCACTCGGCCTACCAGTTACTACACTCTCAGCATAATCCAATTACAAGAGCCCACTGCTGTGTCTTGCTCTCCACAAGTTAAGCCGCATCATTGCCTCCATCGCAGTAGGCCCACATTCACCAAAAAGTTCCTGCATTGCTGTCTTTTGCCACTGGGGTCCCGAGAGGAATTAATCCCTACAAAGAGGGTTTCTGCTTTACCGCTTCTGTGCCAGCCTATAGCAGAAATACTACTA